ATAAATGTGAATCATTTCTTCTGCAGAAAAGAATCTTAATAATCAAGGGATAAGATAACTAGTCATGTGGAGGTCAGTCAACCTCTTTCCCCAGCCACTCCTGCTCACCTCCCCAGTGGGTTCAAGAACAAAGCTGCCATGACAGCAGGGATTGCTTCTGTATCTCACATGTCCCAGACTACTGACCAACTAGGCATTTTACCAGGTGCAGGCCCAAATCCCTACAAACCAGGCTCCACTCAAATGTGATAGTTTCCTTTATTTCCTATGTTATTTAATACCTATAGATAAAAACAAACTTAAGAGTTGTAATCACATTAGAACAATTAATCAAAAGAGAAAATCTTAATATAACCTTTAAAAGAAAAAACAAAGCAAAATCCAAACACATTAAAAGAAGGGAGTGAGATGCCTGAGCAAAAATAAGAGTTAAGAAAGATATTCAACTAGTGAAAGCTAATGCTGACTTGAGAAGTCCTAAGAGTCTGACTGCGTATGATCAGAGCATATGACCACCCACAAAACAAAATACATACAGAATATATTCATCTTTTCTTTGTAGGAAGTGTATAGTATTATTTATAGGTATATTATAGCTGTTGATTAAAAAAATTATTTTCCCTAGAGATTTATATCTACCTCAATACACTCTTTCATTGTTTTTATATTAGCTGGTCATTTCCTCTAAACCTGCTTTGAAAATGTTAGACTCTACTGTGAAACTAGACATTTCAGAAGGTTTTATTTATTAGTTGGAGATACCTCTCCTAAAATTCTCTAATGTAAAAACCAGGGAGCACCATGGTTAAAACCAGAAATATTTTTCATCATTCCTTTACATATTAGTTTTTAAAACATTTGTGTAATTTTTTAAGTTGTCAATATAAAACTAGTGAGAAAACAAAGGGTTAAATAAAGCTGTATAATACTGCTATTTTATGAATTTAGAAGACTTAAAACTTATACTAAAAATAAGAGAATTGAAACAAATCCTTCAAGTAAGCTATTTTTTGGATTTTCCCAGTATTCTGAAAGGACAAAACAGCTGATTTAAATATTCTATCTTCTGGAATATTCCAGCATTTTGAAATAAAAAGTACCGATAAGAAATATTCATGAAAAAGTAAAAAATAACATTTAAAAATATTTACATAAACTCTATCTAATATATTGCTAAAATGAAACTATAAAGTATAACATCAGTATTCTACATAAATAAGCTAAAATAAAATGTTATTCTCCATCTTAAAAAAAAAAACATTCTGTGTAGCCTCAAAAACTCTTGCAAACCATTTTTTCAATGTGCTGAAAAGTAATATGCCCCCCTCTACTGTTAAGAAACAGTAATATTCATAAAGCAGAAAACCAATTCTTTGCTCAACTATTGCCACCCTGTGGCTATAAGGTGGATCTTTCACTATACCATAGCTCCCCATCGGCTTAACAGGTTCTACAAATCTCTATTGTCTAAGTGACATAAAAGGGTTAAAGTTTTTAAAATAGTAAAAAAAAAAAAAAAAAAAAAAAAAAAAGGAAAAAAGGTATTTGACTTTAAAAATGTATTTAGCAAACATTTACCAGGTCCTGTATTCATAAGTATGTGTTATGTTGGTTACAAAAATGAAAAGGACTTGGTCCCATCCTAAAAAAAAATAAACAAACAAAAAAACACTTAAAGAGATACATGCATAAACCAATCTTAAAGCTAATGAATCAAGGAAAAGATAATGGATAAGTGAGCATGGATGAGTAAATGGCCTTTCAGGTCATTTAAACTTGAGATTCCTTTAACTGGTAACCTCACTGAAATTTTAGGATAGGGAATTCACGATGAACTGTCCTTGATTAAATTCCTGCCTGCAGGGGAAAGTCCCTTTTAAGGATCACTTGCTTGGCTCTTACTGAATATCACTTATTTTTGAGGTGCACATATATATACATGTCTGCACTTTGAGAGTAAGAATTAAACCAATGGGTAGGATGTCAACTTTCATTCCTATGTATATATACATTTTAATCCAATAACACGAGATGTTATTTCTCATTTATAGTTATTCGGACATCAAACTGTGTAAATCTTATTCCAATTCATATCAACAAATATATATTAAATCCCTACTTATGTGTAAGGCATTATGCAAGGAATGAAAAGGGTAAATAAAAAACTATCCCGACCTTCAAGAATTACAATCTAGGAGACGGGATAAAACAAGTTCACAAATGGCTCTAATATAACTTAAAGAGTTGTGTGTGTAAAATAAAGGTAGCATAAAACAAAGCCCCAAGACATTCAGAAGGAGTTTCACCTGATTGGTGAAATGACCAAGGCCTAAAAGAACAGGTGATTTTTACTATGGAATTTGCAGGCAGGGAAGCTAATTCTAGGGGAAAGAGCAAAGGTAAAGAAATAATGCTTTGTTTAGGGAACAGCAAACCGTTTACCTTCTAAAAACATTTTTTTAAGCAGAAACCATGTTACAAATTAAATCTTACATAGAGCCCCAATATATATAACATTAAGTGTAGTATTTTGTTGGTATAAGTGTATTTTATGAGTTCAAATTGATAGCATTTACTTATTAAGTCAAAAAATGTGAACATGCAGTTATTTTGATAAAAATTACAAACTGGTATCAGAGGTGAGAGATAAACAACTCCAGTTCCCAATTTTTGTATTTTGTTTTGACTGTCCACTACCAAGAAAATCCACTTATAATACCCCACATGTATAAGTGGGTGAGGAAACAGGCACTGTCATGCACTGTAAGTTGAAGTGTGCAGTCTGTATGTATCAAAACTCAAACTGTGTGTACACATTGACCTAGTATATATCCCATAAATAAGCAAAAAAATGTAAATGCTCACTGTACCACTGTCTGTATTAAGGGGAAAAAAAAAACCCAGAAACAACCTAGAAGCTCATTAGTGAAGGCCTGGTTAAATAAATTATGCTATATCCACACCATGGAATACCAAACAAGTATTTTTTCAATGAGATATACAGTGAGACCTCTGTATTCACAGATGCGGGAGCCGCAGAGGGTTACCTGCACCGTTTATATAAGGGACTTGAGCATCCAGGGATTTTGGTATGGCAGAGGGTCCTGGCACCAAACCCCCGTGGATACCTAGGGACAGCAGTAAGTACACTACACTACACATATATAATGATAAGGAAAAATATTCAAAGTTATACTTAAGTGAGAATAGCAATTTTCAGCAGCAGCAATGAAAATATACTGAGTGTTTATTATCAGGTACTTGTGCTAAGTGTTTAAATAATGAATTCATTTAATCTCATAATAATCCCATGACAGGTTTTCCTTTTATAAAAAAAGGAAAAGAAGATACACGGATATCAAGTAACCTTCCAAGGAAACACAGCCAGTAAATGACAGAAAAATTAGAATTCAAACCAAGTCTGTCTGAATCCAGAGCTTACACTGTTAAACATTAATAATGTAGTTCAAAACTTGTACGTTTTAAAGTATATATATATTTTTATATATAATTAGCTTATATTCATATATGCATACATAAAATCTCTAGCAGTATGCATTTATTAAAAATACACCTTCCAGCTTTGAGAAAGTGAGGAAAAGAAAAAGGGGGCTTTTATATTTCCCATAGTAACCTTCAGTGCTATTTACATGCTCCTTTTGCAATACTATTTTTATATTTCACAATTTTTTTCAAAAATCCTGATCACACAATAAAGACGAACTTTATTCATCTTGTAATCTCAGGATACTCTTCAATTAAATAGTTCCAGAAACTTCAAAGAGTGAAGTGAAAGATTTTTCACAAAGTTGAACCTTTACATCAATACCTAACAACTACTCATATTCCTCATCATAAATATGTCACAAAAGTACTGAAAGCTTCCAATAAACACTAAAATAAAACTAATGTGGTACCTTCAGTTTTCTTATTACTCTGACAATTGTTTTTGCTCAGTTATTACTCTGGAGTAGCACATTTAATTCACATGCTCAAGCCTGTCCTATCCTCACTTATACAACCGTTTGTGAGCAGTCACACAAAGATCTCAATTCAAAGACTGCTCAGATTGCCCTGAAGTTCAAATGTGCACTTTCTGTTCTATTCATTTATTCACGCATTGGGCAAACACTTACGGAGTGCCCACTAAGAGTCAAGCACCGTGCTAGATGCTGGGCAGTTTTCTATAACCCACGACACTACCCATCGGTAAACTGTTTGGTACTGGTTCCCAAGGCGATGAGTACAGAAATTGAGACAGTTTATTTTTATACAGTTTAATATTGCCAGACATCCAATTTCATGTCCGCTAACTCAAAAAATCTGACTTGTATTTACGTCTATTTCTTCCATTTTATTTATCTAGTAATTCTATCGCATTTTACAAAATTATTGCCTCGGACAGATGGATTAAAAAACAAAAGGTCATTTACAGAAAAGGAAAGTGAAGCATTGACAAGTTACATTACTTGCTCAAGTTCATAGTGACAGTAATTCTCTGATTCACCTCTCCACTGAATTAAGAAATATTTATGAGCCTGGTACGCCAGACACTAAGGTCCACACTGCAGCTACTGGGTAGAACAAGAGGAGCAGAGGGCCCTGCCTCTCCCAGTGTGAGTCCAACTTTACTCGGAGTCCCAAGAGTCGCCCTAGGCGCGTCACTATCAACGCTCGCTGCTGGTTTCCCTTCCAGCACTCGCCTGTGGAAGACGCGTGCAAAGCAATGTGGGCAGCGCACACCCAGAATGTAGATACTGTACAAAAGTACAACAAACGGAAGAAAAACACCACCACACGCTCTAAGTGGCCAGCAGGTGGGACAAGCCACACCGCGGCCCCCAACTCTACTCCCTACGCCGGGCCCCGTCCCCGCCTCTCGGTCCCACCCACCCTGCCGGGCCCACCCCCTACGCCGGGCTCCGTCCCGGCTCCCGGCTCCACCCACAACGGCGGGCCCCGCCCGCCAACGCGTCGCTGGCTTAGCTCCCACAACTCACTCTCATCCGCCCGAGCTCCGCCTTCCGCTGCAGCTCTGAGTGCCGCTTCAAAGAGCTCGCGAAGCCGCCTAGGCGCGGCCTAGGCTCCGTGGAATCAGAACTCTCGCTTCCGGAGCCACTTTCAGTGCCTGCGTCTCGACAGGGCCGAAAGAAGAGAAGCACTCGCAGAAAATGACTGTCGGCAGTCACGGCACGGGTCCGGCACAGCGTCGCCATGACGGCTCCACAACCTCTGACCTTTGGCTTTTCCGCGAACGTGCAGGTCACGGGGCGGGGCAATGAGAGGTCCGCCCACTTGCGGAGCACTGTGGGCCGGTGGGCGTGGCCTAATCGGTGTAAGGTAGAAGGGTGGTGTGAGAGAGACTTAAGGTAAAATTGGGGGACTAAATCCTTGGTGGCTCAAGTCCCCTGCTAGCAGCGACCCGCTAAGTTTTGCATGTAAAGGGTTTTGACTCGGAGCAATTTCGCCCTCGCCGGTGCCCTTTGGGCCTGTACTGCTGTAAATTCTGGTAATGCGACTCTTGCTGGCCCCGCCGCCTGCAGGTCTTCCCCAGATGGCCCCAAGGCGCTCTCTGGTCGCCACCGCTCTTCAGGTCTTTGCTCAAATGCGAGGTTCTCCTTGACTATCTTATTTAGAATTGGAATCCCAGACAATATGCCACGTAGTTTACTTACTAGTACTTTTGTTTAGCGTCTGCTCTCTCGATTTGTAAACTGAGGGCAGGAATTTTGCTGTTGAATACCTGACAGCGGGCACATGGTAGGGCGCAAACACTTGTGAAATCCCGGATCTAAGTTTCGTTACAAAAATATTAACTTGAGACATTTTTGGTCACCTCTTAGCTACAATCCCTTCTAGGGAATTAAGGAATTTCGTAATGCCAAAACATACACCACCAGAGGCCCACCCTCACTTATGCTTTTCTCCCTACCCGCCCCATGTTAATTGCCAGAATTTGCCCACCTTCTTCAAAACCGAGCCTAACTCCATGCTTGAAGTGTTTATGAATTAAGCTGTCCACCCAGCTTCTACCCAGCATTTTTATATTAATGCGCAGTTATCTGGAGGGAGGTAGCAAGCACTTTTCCAGCTCATTTACAAGTACTTGGACAGAAGGAAGTTTTATGTATGACTACAGCCCCTATTTTAATAATGCTCTTGACTGAGACTTTTTTTTTTGGCCGCGCTGCGCAGCTTGCGGGATCTTAGTTTCACGAGCAGGGATTGGACCCATGCCCTCAGCAGTGAAAGCGCACAGTCCTAACCACTGGACCACCAGGGAATTCCCAATAATGCTTTTGACTGTGGATTTTAAAACTCTGATGTTCTCATCAACTGCGTAGACAGCAGACAGAACCCTAGAAGTGCACTAACCTTAGAATGGTGCGTGACTGTATGAATCACATACAACTTATTACTAGCCACCTGTTCGGCAGTCCTTAAATTCGGTGGAGAGCTTAAGATAAATTCTACTCCAGGTGAGTTCTCCCTTTTGGTGCATAAACCGTGTCTTTCCCTTGACCATTAATGCAGTCTTGCCGAAGATATTTTTGCATTACTTTTTATGGCTCTTGCTACTTGTTTCCCTTCAGGAAAAAGTGTGGTAAATTGTAAAGAGTGTTGACCAGTGTTCTTAGCTCTAGTTCGACCTCCCGTCCCCATCGCGGGGAAGCCAATTTAATGTTGCTGATTTGGTTTCCTCACGTAAAACCAAGTTATTAGCCTCTGTCTTAAATTTAAGGAAGTGTTTTGTAAACTTAACTAAATCAGCATCTACAGAACAAATGGGATTACTAATATCCCAGCTCTAAAATTCAGTAGATGTATTATCTTCGTGTCCTACCTCAGCCAGATGATAAATTCCTTCAGTACTGTGATAATGCATTTGGAGACAAACCCTGATGTTTTTAATGGATAAGAGTAAGTTTGCATCAACTGACTTCAAGTATGCCTAGTTCTCTGCCTTTGGTAGCGCATCAGAAGCATCAAATGAGAGAGAGGGTAAAGGACTGAGTGAATCTGCACACTGTCCTTGCCTGTATCAGTGCCAATTGTAAAAACAACCCTAATGGCAGTATTTCAACATCATGGCACTTCTGATCCTGCTGTGTTCCTTGAACCACACTTTCCTTCTTGATTTTTTAAAAACACAAGCTTCTTTCTTCCCATATAGCTTTCAAATTGTTAGTATGCTTTTTAAAGATATTAGTAATGGCAGATGACAAGTGAATAAAAAAGTAATTCAAGTTCTGGCTCCATGTCTACTGACTGTGGTTTCATCTATCAAATGGTGACAGCACCACATCCTTGAGTGAGGAATTAAAGGAAATGGGTGTGAAATGCCCAACACCCACTAAAAGCTCAATAAATAGTGGCTATTAGTGGCTAGGTGGAGGTGACCAGAAGGTGATTTAGAAGTTCATGCCTCTCAAACATGCATGAAAACCTGGAATAAAGATAGGGCTAGTGATACACCGGAAAGATATGAGTATTACTGTAAAGACAGTCATTTCAACCATAGAGATGAATACAGTCATTAAGGAGACTGTGTAGAAGATGACTAGAGATAGGCAATAACATTTAAGGAGTTGGAAGAAGAGAATACCAGAGAATAGTCAAACTGGAAAATGAGAAAAGAATTAATTCTAGAAACCAAGAGGAAAACTTGAAAGCACATTGAGATGAAGCGTGTTAAAGTGAAAGTCACCAAGTAGCGTTTTATTTAAGTAAAATCCTGGCAGGTGATAGGCACATGCAGGCCCTGCCCTCTCAGGGCTCACAAACTAAAAGTGAGTTCTTTTGGCTCATTTTGATTTTGGTTCATTTTTATTTCACAATCAGAACGTGGAAATTGAAATCTATGGATTGTAGGTTTACTTAAAAGTGATAATGCTTTATTATTAACCGTAAACCAATATGGTCTCTATAATTAATCCAATTACAATGGGACAGTCACTAATTAATGGCCAAACGTCTCCTCATTATGGGCAAAAATCTGATTTTTCATCTGGGTCTTAAGAGCTATAAAGAAACACATGCAATCCTGATATAGGGCCTTATGCAGCCTCTCTGGCACAAATACAGCAAATGGTCACTTACAAATGTCTTTTTGTAGTCAGCATGTAGCGTTTTTGTTTGATACACTGAGTCCATACAGCTGCTCCTGGTTCTTTCTATACCCAGGATATGAAGGGTCTGGAGAGAAGCTGTATAATGAATGGATTTACCCACTTTCCTCAGCAGATAGGTAATACAAAAGAACCCATGCCCAAATTATAGAATTTTTATTGTTTTCAAATACTATACAAAAAAAAATAGACAGTATTATCTTTTCCTTAACAGATCCAGAAGTAGTGAGTCCAAATTCAACATGTTTTTTCTCTATTTCAGTAGTTTCAGTTACTACTAGGATAATCCAATGGTTTCTCCTCTCTTCCATTGATTACTTTGGCCTCATAGGTATGAGAATTCTTGCTTTATTTCCCACAAACTCCATAAATTAAGGAGTTCCTTTGTAAGAAGGGGATAATTTCAGGAATTATTTTCTTCTGTCACACTTCTTGAATCCTTAAATATCTGAGATTTCACTCTTGTTGCTATGTTTTTCCAGTGTCAAACACAAAACACAGTAGAATGACCGGGACCCCTCTCTGCTGTTCTTAGTGATTACTGTGTTCTAAACTGCTTAAATATCTGTGAATTCATAATATTGAATCTTCCACAAAGACTACTTGGAATCATATTTCTAAGTCGATGTTTATTTTTCTAAATTTATCGTCCCTCTACTGTTTTGTTGCTTTTAAGAGGCAGAGTACTCTGCAATAGATTAAATCATTTCTAAATTAAGTGTAGGTAGATGTCTAGAACAGTGATTCTCCAATTTATTCTTTTACAGCCATCACCAATACCCACATACACCCATCCCACCTTCCAACCCTAGTTCTATCATTTCTCTCATAAAGTAAGGAGACTTGAGGATATTTCACTCAACTAAAGAAACTGCCATCTTCTCCATTTTGCTTTGCTAAAAAGACAACAATAGGGCTGGACATCCAAGAAACAACGTGATGAAAAGAAGATGTGATAAAAACAACTGAAAGACTAATTGGTTGAAAAAATAATTTAACAGCTATGTTGAGTAACCACAATATTTCTATAAAAAGACAAATTTCTACATGTCGACTCCTCTAGGACAATGCTTCAACAACCTTTGCCTTAAAGCCTTTTCAAGTAAATAATTTATGGTAGTCTAATACCATGAAGCAGTGATTTAAAGCAGATGGTAAAAAACGGCCTTTTTTTTTTTTTAAAGCATAGATACCGGTTGATTATGTAACACAACAAGCTGTTTCCAGACCACTGGTCTCATAATAAATATTGAGACCTATACTACTGATATACACAATTTATTAAGCTTTTCACATGTAATAGAGCATAGTTTCAGTTGCATCTGAAGTGCTAACAAAAGCTCCAGCAATCAAGAATGGCAGCATGTTATCAATATTTTATAACAATCAACACTTGTAGCTTTTCAGATTTGGATAAGATAATTTATCCCAAAGTAAATCTAGTCATGCTTTTAAAAAATGCTTTAGGTCACTCCAAGCTTGGCAATTAACATTTGGCATAAACAATAATAAAACAATCACAACTTGATAAATAACAAATACAACATTGTAGGCCATAACCATACACAGCATAAGAAAAAGATGGTGATGAGTAAGTAGTCATTAGAATTAATAGAGTACCTTGGCCTCCATGCAGATACTTCCAGAGGCTTTGGTTCATTCAGCCCTGACACTCAGTTTTCAAAGCAGGGGGCAATATCTACAGTATCATTTTGTAATTTCGAACACACTGAAAACAAGTAAGTAGAAAATGATGAGTTGATTTTTATTAATGCATTAAATCCTCAGGAGTTATCACCAACCCCTTAGTATAAAATTTTTTCAAGTTATATTAGTCATGTGTGCTTCTTACTGTAAATGCTGCTAAATGAATTAAATGAAGTCAACAGTGTTTCCCCTAATGTGATTGATTTTAGCACTTTTCAGCTACCTAGATCTAAAAATCTTTCAGGCTTTTGAACTGAATGTTTGAGGACAGTGTTCATATTTCAACCTATTGATAATACAATATGCTTGATTCAGAACATTAACTTACAGTCTATTCCAAAACTAAAATTTTAATCTGGTGCAAAATAAGTAGCTGTAAGTGGCACAATAACCATGACGCATAATGACCATGACACTGAAATGGTTACTGTCACAGATGGTGATAAACAAGGATGTGAGGGCTCCACTCTCAAGTCGCCTAGGATTTTGAATTACTGTCTGTACATACTGTCACTTACAAAACTATAATAAATTGAATATTTAGTCTGGTGTCTTCAAACACCCAAGATGTAAGATAACTTATTCCAAAACAATATTTATCTGAAAATATTTTTTGTACCTGGTAGTTCTTCCCTTGGAGGTAAAGAACAATTTGCCAAAACTTTTAATAACCAGGATACAGAAAATTTTAAAGAACAATCTTACCTAGGAATCAAATATACAGAGATTCAAAGAGGAAAAAAGAAAATTGTATAGAAGACAAAGATCAAACTGGTATCCCAGATCCAGAGCAATTTTGTAAAGTAGGAAAGCAATTATGATAACCCACAGCTTCTTAGATCATTCTAGTGAGGATCTCCAGGTACTATATATGTTTTTATAATGATATTTTCTAAATAAAGGGCCTTAAATGCACATAAAAGGGTGTTTCCCAGGAATAGAGGTTAAGATATTTTTACATTGTTCAACCCACAACTATTTGGTCAAAGGAATATGTAAAGCTCAACAAAAGCACATCTGGTGGAAATTCATGGCAATGAATGTTGACAAGATGTGCTTGGATCTCGCTTGCAGCATCTGGCAGTGAGTAGCAGAACAAAGGTAGGAATCTCACAGGCTCTCCTGTGTCTGTTCTGGAAGAGGCTCCGTGGTGGTGGAACTAGCGTTTGCAGTCGAATTCAAGACTTCTCCAAAATCACCACCAGCAGGCTTGGTTCCTCCTACTTTAGACTTTTAAAATAAAAGTTCAAAAAGGAAGAGACATTAGGAAACATAAACTTCGCTGACTCTGCATAAAGTAACTCAAATTTTACTTTGAAGCATAAATCAGGAGCCTAAGAGCTCAGTGATTATTTGTACAGAATTTAGTACTGTTGCAACGTTCCATGCGGTCTCACAGAAAAACTTATGCAGTTTCCGTGCTGAAATACTCAAATTGGTAAATTCTACCCCTCCACTTTTTTCCCCTGTCTGCTTATTGTTCTTCACGGGGAAGGCTGTCTGAAGAATTCTGTAAGGCCTATCATGCTAAAGTACCTACTGAACTCTCTTTGTATTTGGATAACACTTTGTGAAATATTATTGAGTAAAACAAAGGAAAGAAATATATGTACGTTTCCCAGTTACAGCATAAACTTTCTAACCTTTTGCTGCTTAAAGAGTGGTACATGGACCTAGAGACTCAACATCACCGGGGAGCTTGTTAGACATTTGGAACCTCAGACTGGCCTCCCCATCTCCATCTGCAAAATTGAAATCCAGGCTTTAACAAGATCTCCAGGTGCTTCCTGTACACATTATAGTTTGTGAAGCACTACTCCAAGTTATCTGGCCTGAAAATCTGTCAATAAATATTGGTTTGAATGAATTTATCTGCCCCGCATTTGTATACTATTGTATGCTTTTCAAAACCCTTACACATCCTTAGTGACATTGATGAATCTCTGCTTCCTGCCCACCGTCACCCCCTCTCCTGCCCCCATTACATCTCATGACTGACCAACAGGACAGCTGACTAACATTAAGAAACCAGTCAATGATCAAGGATGCAACTCAGAGTGGGCTTGCATCTGACCTTGCTCTTAGCTCAGTCTTGACTGGCCACAGATTCATTAACAATCGGAATCTCGTTGAAATTTTCTCTCTCATTTCTTCTTGGCCTCCCACCTAAAATCTTTGAATTGCATGAAAAATGTGCATGACTTATATCCACTGTATATTTATTAAATTTATTAAAATATTCATTAATTACAAGAAAATGTTAAGACCTCTTGCAATTCACAAGTCTAAAACAACTCCTCCCCACAACTGGTCCCTTCTCTATTCTAAGACCATGAATGTCAGTAGTAACTCCCAGTCAGACTCCTGGAGTTATCCTTGGTCCTGCCCTGTCTTGTTCCACATCCAATCGATCACTAAATTTTTCTGTGTCACCTGTAAAGTCTAAATATCTCTCAACTCTGTCCCACTGGCACTAGCTCAACTCACCACACCAACATCTTTGGCCTGGATTACAATGCCTCCCTCCCACCTCGTCTCCTTCTCCAGTCTCTCTCCCCTTAGCTCTGCAGGGCAGACAGTGATCTTTCTAAAATGCACAGAAGAATGTGCGACTCAGGTTGTTTAAAATCTTCCAGTGGCTTCCCACACTTTCCTTAACGTGGCCCACCCATCTCTCTAGCTACATCTCCTGCTCAGTACCCCACAGCACAGCAAAGTTCCTGCTGTTCCTCAAAGGGGCCCCAAAGCTTCAAACATTCCCCTCAACCTAAAGGTTTGGTTTCCATTTACATTACTGCATCCTCTGAGAAGCCTGCTCTGACCTTCCCTCCTGCCAAGCATGACAGAAATTCCCGCTACTTATCCTCCTGCAGCCTTGACTTCCACTGTCATAGCACCTTACCCTGTGTTTACTTTCACTGGCCATTTAATTGTCTAAACATCTTCAGAAAGGGTCTGTGTCTCTGTTGCTCACCATGGTATTTCCAGTGCCCAATACTCATCTCCCGGCACATGGCAAATGCTCAATAATCACAGTTAATGACTTGATCCAAAATCTAAATGTAAGTACATGTAGACCCGATGTTTAACTGAGTATCAATGTAAGTTAGAAAATCTGCATCCCAAGCACACAATTATATTTTACAGCTTCCTTGGTGATATTTGTCTAATACACTATACTATTAAAAAAACATTTTTATTTGAATGGTGCCCAGTCATATTTAAAAAACTGATTTCACTACAATTTAGAGAGTCTGAATATACTCAGGAGGAAAGTACACAGTAAATGACCTCGAAGTTTCTCCTCTTCTTCAGTGTCAAAAGAACTGAGGCTTTCCTGGTTTTCCAGCTAGTCATTTAAAAAAGCTAATGCTCAGGGTAGATTTCAAGGAGAGGCTATGATATTCCTAAAACATTGAGAACTAAATCAGAGTAAAACCTTGACTTCTTGCAACGTACAGTTTGTTTTCAAACACCTGACTAGGCATTAATAAGGATAAAGCAGGCCTCTGGTACTGTCGTAAAAGAATGACTATGGAGCTTTCCTGGTGGCGCAGTGGTTGAGAGGCCGCCTGCCGATACGGGGGACACGGGTTCGTGCCCCGGTTCGAGAGGATCCCACATGCCGCAGAGCGGCTGGGCCCGTGAGCCATGGCCACTGAGCCTGCGCGTCCGGAGCCTGTGCCCCGCAACGGGAGAGGCCACGACAGTGAGAGGCCCGCATACCACAAAAAAAAAAAAGAATGACTATGATGTATTTTTTGCTCATCAAACATGTATTAAGTAGCTGTGATATGCCAAGGACTACTCTAGGCCCTGGAGAAGCATCAGTGAGCAAAAAGAACAGGGGTCTGCGTTTGGGGGTTCATTAGAGCATGCGTGCTAGGGGGGTTGAACGAACAAGCTGTAGGAATGTTTGTACAGTGTGATTCCTTTTTGAAAAACATTTATACATTTATGTAGAAACAGAAAAGGTGGGTAGTAGCGTTTGTATGTGCAAGAAAAAAGGATTCAGATCATGATACAGTGTTTGGTTTTCTTTCTGTAAGCATACCCTGATTCTGTAATTTTAAAAAGATATATTTAAAAGCAAGTGACTCAATTATAATTCTAAAAGACAAAATATGAGTATTTTAAAGCTGATTTATATAAAACATTTTAAGATATTAGTTTTAACCCTTAGAAAATAACCACAGTAACTACCAGAATTTGTTTAGGAAGAAATGACCATATGGGCTTTGCACTTCTCTGTAGAGAAGTCTGGGCAGTGGATGGGAACAAAACAACATTTTTGGTCACTTGTGATCCTTGATGATTTTATAGTTTTGAATATAATCTTGAAGATAATACAATTTACAAATTAATAAAGCTGATTATTATGGGAAAATGTCCACCTTCACCAATATCAAAGCAATCAAAAAATAGGGGCTTCCCTGGTGGCGCAGTGGTTGAGAGTCTGCCTGCCAATGCAGGGGACACGGGTTCGTGCCCCGGTCCGGGAAGATCCCACATGCTGCAGAGCGGCTGGGCCCGTAAGCCATGGCCGCTGAGCCTGCACATCCGGAGCCTGTGCTCCACGGCGGGAGAGGCCACAACAGTGAGAGGCCCACATACCGCAAAAAAAATAAAAAATAAAAAAATAAAACAATGAATTATCAATGATGATCACCATGGCATCATCATAATAATAAAAATGTCCAATAATTGAGGATTGAACAAACAATACCCATTATAAGGCTATGTAAGCAGCCACTGAACATAATATTGAAGAAGAATAATGATACAGAAACATGTTTATGGTTAATTCTTTTCTTTTTTTAATTTTTAAATTTAATTTTATTTATTTTTTTATACAGCAGGTTCTTGGTTAATTCTTTTTTAAAGTGTAACAGCACAGTCCTACAACATCACTGTCTGTGGGTCGTAGGACCACTTTTTTGTGTTTTATTTTTTGTACTTTTTCTATATTGTTTTTAATTTTCCACAGTAAGATTTATATTAAATTTTGTCCAATTACAAAAGTATTTGAATAATGCAAAAAGCAGCACAAACTTCTAAAGTACTACTGTTCTTTAAAATTATACATTTCTTTTCAGCACTTATGCTGGCCATGCTCAATATACACTCAAAAAAATTGATTAAAAGAGTATACATCATCTTAAATATCCATAAATAATGTAAAGAAAGTTATTGAAGTTCTTTAACTATTTTTGGAAGGAAATACTAATTTGAATAATTTACCCACACCAAAGAAAGTTAAGGCATCAAACAAGATAACACAAAAGACCCTGTTCATTTCTCTACTTGCCTTTAAGTTTTCAACCTTTTCCTCAAACGATTTGAATGTTGGGGAGTTTCTATGGAGAGAAAAGAAAAACAAATAGTAAATTACAAACACTGAACAAAAAAGCCAACAATTTTGAAAACATTATTAAGCTGACTGTATTCCTCTTCGCCATTATTCTCAATCAGCAAAAGAACACATATACCATATGTGACACCTGTTCCATAGATGTGCAGGCATACGTACAAACGTTTTATTATGTGAGATTATCGATTCTGTTCTAAGATTTCTACAACGATGTTTTCAATTCCTTGAACAGAGCCAGTCTTAGACATATACATAGAGTCAAGTACATGTGTGGTGAAGAGATGGAACAAAGTCAGGTACAACGTTGAGTCTGTCACTTTCCCAACCAACTTGTCACGGTATAAGAAAATGCCACTGTTGGATCAGTCTGATTCTGGTTAAGGTGCTACACTAGAACTCATGTTTAAATTCACATGTTGCCTGGCAAGATTTCTACATGAACCCACATCACCTAAGCAGGATAAGCAAACCATAGGAGGTTCCACACCAGGGATGCTGGTTCCCAGCAGCAGCATAACAGACAGGGAAAGGAGAGACCAAAAGGAAGGGAGGAGTACAGAAATGTGGCTTTGGCCACTTCACAAAGCTGCCCCAACTGACAGAAGCTCTCTAAGCCCACAGGAAGCCTCTCCTGTGACTTCACATTCATGCATTTGAATTAAGGAGGATCACAGCACCTGTGCCGCTCCCACCTGGGTTTCCAAAGCTTTTATACTATCCACCTGACCTCCAGTATCCTTCCTACTACCATGATGAAAAAGGAGAAGAAGGGAACAAGGGGTTTCCTCCTTCCCATCGTGGGGACAGGCAATCGGTCCCAAAGTGTGGTCCCCAGACCAACTGCATCAGTAGCTCCTCGGAAGTTGTTAGCAAAGCAAATTCTCAGCCACCCCAGGCCTACAGAATCAGAAACTCAATGTGGGCCCGCTAGGCAGAGGCTTTTAATAAGCCCTCCAGGTAGCTCTGAGGTACACTAAAGTTTAAGCCAAGCATGTATAGTTAAAAATCCTCTGCCTCTATAGAGAGGTCAGGTGAGGTCGTAGAATGTGCCACTTGCAAGTACTTACTGATGAAAGAGGACACTAGAATCAGATCACAGTTGGCTCCAAATGTCACAGTGGGATGAGGGAAGTAGAAATGGGGAGGATGAAAGAAAAGGGGGGCTTCCCTGGTGGCTCAGTGGTTAAGAATCCGCCTGCCAATGCAGGGGACACAGGTTCGAGCCCTGGTCTGGGAAGATCCCACATGCCACGGAGCAACTAAGCCCATGCATCGCAACTACTGGGCCTGCGCTCTAGAGCCCGTGAGCCACAACTACTGAGCCCACGCGACACAACTACTGAAGCCCGCGTGCCTAGAGCCCGTGCTCCGCAACAAGGGATGCCACCGTAATGAGAAGCCCGTGCACCACAATGAAGAGTGGCCCCCGCTCACCGCCACTAGAGAAAGCCTGCGCACACCAACGAAGGACCCAACGCGGTCAAAAATAAAATTTAAAAAATTGATTAATTAAAAAAAGAAAGAAAAGGGGATTGTAACTAAAGCTAATGCAGATGGAGGAGGTGGGACACCTACATCCATGAAAACAGAAGGTTGATTAGATGAGCACTGTTCACTTTTTTTTAATTAAACAGATTCCACATATGAAACAATTTAACAGGTTTACAAAACAGAAGAAATAATCGTTCCTTTTTCTAATCGCAAACATTTAATGGATTTCTTACACCAACCTAACATTGTTAGGAAGAGCAACTGAAAAGTGGTGACAGTTTTCACAGCTTGTTTAGAGTAGAATTCTAGCTCCTACTTCAGAACAGTTCAAGTTAAACATCTAGATAAAAAAAAATAAGAAAACATCAGACCAACTACATTTTGTAAAAATATACTTTACCTCATAGCAGGCATGCTAATTGAGTGTTGAATGGAGCGTATACTAAGAGGCAGCATTAAAAAGAGATAGAAATGGAGTTAGTAAAGTGGTGATTAGACATTATAAAATGCAAACAAAACTTAGTTTTCTAGGAGCTTGCTCTTCTGACACCATGAAGAATTACCTGCTTTTTGAGGTGGAGGGGATCAAAATTATTTCAACATAATTTACTTTTATTCATGAGCCAATTTAATTCTAGCCGTTAATAGAGCTAATAATCAACTTTGCATTCTCATAGCACTTTGAAAATTGTCGAGTGCTTTCACCAGTATCTGTAATGAATCTAGAGTGAGCATCAAGGCTCAAAAGTTAATAATTTACAGGTCACAGCACAATCGTGAATGGAACTTGGGTCTTTAAGACTCCTAATCCGATGTTCACCACCTCCCCTCAAAAAATGAAGCACACACACACACACACACACACACACACACACACACACAAGCGAGACCACTGAAGGGCTCCTGCAGTCGTTTTTCTCCCACATACCTGTTATCAGAACAGGAAGGTTTCAAAGTCACTATTTGACAACTTCAAGTGACTTTAAAATTACATGTCACTTCTTAGTGGTAGTCGTATCCAGTTTTCTAGTAAGAGACACCTGTACTTCATCTCAAACTAAATGTTCTTATAGGCCATTCAAATAACATTTGATCCCCTGTTTTACAAGGACCAGCTTTTTATTCAAGGGCAAAGCAGTTCACTGACCATTCGGGTTCAAGGTTATCTACCTCCAGCCATCTCCCATAGAGAACACCTCACAAGATGAAAGTACCTCAATTCTTGGGCTCACTAAGTCACTGTATGCACCCTGCTGATACTGTTAACATGCTTATAAGCATTTTGATCACTGACACAGCATTTTGGGGTAAGCTGGACAGTCCAAGGTTTCAATTCTCAATTATATTTAAATACTCTGTGTGTTTATGATTTAGTTTTCTCCAAGATTCCGTTGTTACAAATGACAATGTGTTCCAATGTAGCTCCTCAAATCTAGTTCTGCATTAGTATGGAGTATGATCTTGATATGAATCAAAAGAAGCTGACAGCATGTACAGTCAAATAATCAGTAAAATATTTGGACATCTTCGTACTTAATGTTGTACACAATACAGGAAAAGATCCATTGTAGCTCAGCATTCTCTCTTCCTATCACAATGGTAGATACCTCGGATATAAGACTATATTCTGGGAGGAATTTGCTAATTCTTTTCCTGCTTGATTTATTGCAGTGTGTTGCATCCATATTTTAAAGACAGAGATTAATAAAAATCACCTTTCTTAGTTTACAATACCAGAACTCCAAAAGCTACCTGCCCTTCCTTGGACCCTTCTGAAAAAAGCTGCCTCTGTAAGTCAAATTCCCAAAGCCACCTTCCACCATCACCAAGATAATAACTGGACCAGTAGAGTTCCACCCACCAGAGCTAACCTCCTGGTAATTTACAAATTGTTTAGACCAAATTAAAAAAAAAATTTGATTTGAGATAATCAAGATTCCTATCCTGGGATTTTGTAATTAGAACACTAAGCCGCTGGTTGGTTAGTGGTAGGTACTTGAACCAGAAAGTCATGTAGTGTTCGATGTTGAGGAAGACATTTGGGGGGACCAGGTACAAGCTTCAAGAATGCGGAGGAAACCAATTCTCAAAGAAAGAATTGCATATAAGCACAGAGAGAGGTAGAGGGAATGAAGGAGAGAGGAGCATTCAGGGAAGAGGGCTCAGGTGGTAGAGGAATGGGTTTCTTGGTTTTTGGGGGGTTCTAGAAGCTACCTTGATTTCTAACAGCTTTTCAATGAGCAGGACTAATCTGGGTGGGGCCTGGGCTTGCTTCCTTTCCTCTCCTTGGATTCCAAAAGAACTTTCATTCTATGCAACACATTCCCTTTTTAGGTGAGCGAAGTCACATAGTTTTCTATTCTTCCTAACCAAAAGACTTTGCTAGAACATTTTGGCAGAAATTACCAAATTCTGGCAAAAGAAGGTGCTTAATGGCTGAACACGTGATAAATTATTTGTCCGAAGGACTCACACATTGAATTCAACAGTATCAACAAAATGAGAAAATGGGTGGATAAAGCAAGTATAAATCTCAGAAATGCACAGTTAATTCTAGTCACTGACTCTCCCTAAGATCTGTAAAAGATCATTTCCTCCAATGGCCAATTTGTGGATACTGTGCCCCTTTAAACAGCCTACAAACTAGTTAAAAGGGACTACGGCAAAGGCAGAGTGAAAAGAATGATCATAAAAGTGAATTGTAGATGCATCAAGTTGACTATCAATTCCACATCCAGCGCACAAAATTAATTCAGGATTATCCTACATAAGAAACAAGTCCTGAGGTCATAAAAGTTGAAAAACTGAATTGTAAAAGTCACGAAGTCACATGGAATTATCAGGGGATGGAGAATTAACACAAGAAGGCAGTGGAGAGCTTACAAATGACTCATCAAGGGATCTTCCCTGGATTAGGTAGGAGAAGGACGGTTGGTGAAGCATCAGTGCAAGGGGATATCAGGAGAATGGGGGAAACTGACAAACAGGGTAAACAGTCAGGAGAAGACAATAATGTTGGAAATACAGACAATTTTTAAAAATATTTTGTTTTTACAGTATTATCATAGGAAAGGACTACCAATACACTTCCAAGAAAACCAAGATAGAACTGATAATTTGGGGCCTTTAAGTTATTAAACACCTAGAAGGTGCCCATGATGTTTATAATATGACTTAAAGAATGTTAAAAATGAACACTTTGAGAATTCTAAGAAACAGTGCAGCATCTCTTGTAAAGGACTTTAGGGTCTTTACAGGATCATGACAACATCATCCTTGCTGGTGTTGCGTTTCAATTAGCAGTTAAGGCAGAGAAAGAATTTAAATATTTGAGTACCATGAAGGATACATCCACTAAATACGTTTAAGTGGGAATGTATAGGAAAAAGCAAGGAAATGATTACAATAAGGTGTTTATTTTGTGATAAATTGCTGGGTTGAATTTCTGTATGTTTTACATTTCAAAATAAGATTAAAAATACACCCACTGAACAG